AGTTTTTTTTAAAATCCCTTTGAAATTGTGCTAAAATTGCAACCCCAGCTGAATGATAAGTCCTGTGGGCCAAGAAAATGTCACTGCCCTGATTTTTCAAAAAAATTATAGTCCTCTTTGCATAAATGTGTCTCTTGAATGAATAAAAGATCTGCGTTGCAGTCCTTACAAAACATTAAAAAAAGCTTTCCTCTTCTAAAGTTTTGTATCCCCCTGGCATTGGTTAACAAACTTCAAGTCCATATACACAGTTGAAGTCGGAAGTTTACATACACTTAGGTTGGAGTCATTAAAACTTGTTTTTCAACCACTCCACACATTTCTTGTTAACAAACTATAGTTTTGGCAAATCAGTTAGGACATCTACTTTGTGCATGTCCAACAATTGTTTACAGACAGATTATTTCACTTATAATTCACTGTATCACAATTCTAGTGGATCAGAAGTTTACATACACTAAGTTGACTGTGCCTTTAAACAGCTTGGAAAATTCCAGAAAATGATGTCATGGCTTTAGAAGCTTCTGATATGCTAATGGGGATAATCTGAGTCAATTGGAGGTGTACCTGAGGATGTATTTCAAGGCCTACCTTCAAACTCAGTGCCTCCTAGCTTGACATCATGGGAAAATCAAAATAAATCAGCCAAGACCTCAATTTTTTTTGGGTAGACCTCCACAATTCTGGTTCATCCTTGGGAGCAATTTCCAAACGCCTGAAGGTACCACGTTCATCTGTACAAACAATAGTACGCAAGTATAAACACCATGGGACCACGCAGCCATCATACCGCTCACGAAGGACACGCGTTCTGTCTCCTAGAGATTAACGTACTTTGGTGCGAAAAGTGCAAATCAATCCCAGAACAACAGCAAAGGACCTTGTGAAGATGCTGGAGGAAACAGGTACAAAAGTATCTATATCCACAGTAAAACGAGTCCTATATCGACATAACCTGAAAGGCCGCTAAGCAAGGAAGAAGCCACTGCTCCAAAACCGCCATAAAAAACATGGGGACAGAGATCGTATTTTTGGAGAAATGTCCTCTGGTCTGATGAAACAAAAATAGAGCTGTTTGCCCATAATGACCATCGTTATGTTTGGAGGAAAAAGAGGGTTGCTTGCAAGCCGAAGAACACCATCTCAACCGTGAAGCACGGGGTGGCAGCATCATGCTGTGGGGGTGCTTTGCTGCAGGAGGGGCTGGTGCACTTCACAAAATAGATGGCATCATGAGGAAGGAAAATTATGTGGATATATTGAAGCAACATCTCAAGACATCAGGAAGTTAAAGCTTGGTTGCAAAAGGGTCTTCCAAATGGTCAATGACCCCAAGCATACTTCCAAAGTTGTGGCAAAATGGCTTAAGGACAACAAAGTCAAGGTATTGGAGTGGCCATCACAAAGCCCTGACCTCAATCCTATAGAAAATGTGTGGGCAGAACTGAAAATGCGTGTGTGAGCAAGGAGGCCTACAAACCTGACTCAGTTACACCAGCTCTGTCAGGAGGAATGGGCCAAAATTCACCCAACTTATTGTGGGAAGTTTGTGGAAGGCTACCCGAAACGTTTGACCCAAGTTAAACAATTTAATGGCAATGCTACCAAATACTAATTGAGTGTATGTAAACTTCTGACCCACTGGGAATGTGATGAAAGACATAAAAGCTTAAATAAATCATTCTCTCTACTATTATTCTGACATTTTACATTCTTAAAATAAAGTGGTGATCCTAACTAGGATTAAATGTCAGGAATTGTGAAAAACTGAGTTTAAATGTATTTGGCTAAGGTGTATGTAAAGTTCAGATTTCCAAACTGCATCGCTCGCTGTGCGAAAGCGAACTGGATGAGGATCGAGCGGTTATGCGAAAGCGAACTGGATGAGGATCGAGCGGCTGTGCGAAAGCGAACTGGATGAGGATCGAGCGGCTGCCGATGGCATCTTGCTTCTTCCCAATACTATGAGTGTCCATATATCCTTCTGGGAAGTCCGGGGCGACACGGTTACAGATGTCACTTACTTTGCGCTTCACATTCTCACCCTGGTCCTCAGGACACCTTAAAGCTGTAACCCACACCTTCTCCGGTATCGCTCTGCTTCCAACAAGCAGAGCGTTTATCAGAGGTTGCAGTGTTTGCAAGTTTAAGATCTTCGATACTCTCCTATACATGATTCAAAGAGGTCTCGAGTTCAGCGATTTTTTAAAATGTGTTTTCGAGTGTCATTTTCTCCAGACCATCGGCTCTTTCATTTATCTTTGCAGTGACAGCATCGATTGTATTGACCAGGAGTTCGTGCAAAGACAATTCTTTGTCTTTTTGGGTGCAGGGCTATTGACTGGAGTGTCAGAATCAACCGAAGGTCCAGAATCCTCAATTTCTTCTCCTGAGGAGTCGGGTGGCGGTTTCTCTCCGGTGTATGAGTGGCCAGCTAGCAACTGCCTTGTCCTCCCTTAGCTTTTTCTCAAAAAATAATTCTTCAATTTTGCCAAGTTTCAGATTAAATTAGCAGTCTACGGAGCGTTGTTCTTTGTTGTGTTTACTATAAACCGAGTTTTGTTACATTTAAGTACGTTGGAGAAGGATAAAAGTTAAGGTTACTCGGAGCAAGATAAATTATCATATATACAGTGGGGAGAACAAGTATTTGATACACTGACGATTTTGCAGGATTTCCTACATACAAAGCATGTAGAGGTCTGTCATTTTTATCATAGGTACACTTCAACTGTGAGAGTCGGAATCTAAAACAAAAATCCAGAAAATCACATTGTATGATTTTTAAGTAAATCATTTGCATTTTATTGCATGACATAAGTATTTGATCACCTACCAACCAGTAAAAATTCCGGCTCTCACAGACCTGTTAGTTTTTCTTTAAGAAGCCCTCCTGTTCTCCACTCATTACCTGTATTAACTGCACCTGTTTGAACTCGTTACGTGTATAAAAGACACCTGTCCACACACTCAATCAAACAGACTCCAACCTCTCCACAATGGCCAAGACCAGAGAGCTGTGTAAGGACATCAGGGATAAAATTGTAGACCTGCACAAGGCTGGGATAGGCTACAGGACAATAGGCAAGCAGCTTGGTGAGAAGGCAACAACTGTTGGTGCAATTATTAGAAAATGGAAAAAGTTCAAGATGACGGTCAATCACCCTCGGTCTGGGGCTCCATGCAAGATCTCACCTCGTGGGGCATCAATGATCATGAGGAAGGTGAGGGATCAGCCCAGAACTACACGGCAGGACCTGGTCAATGACCTGAAGAGAGCTGGGACCACAGTCTCAAAGAAAACCATTAGTAACACACTACGCCGTCATGGATCAAAATCCACGCAAGGTCCCCCTGCTCAAGCCAGCGCATGTCCAGGCCCGTCTGAAGTCAGTGACCATCTGGATGATCCAGAGGAGGAATGGGAGAAGGTCATGTGGTCTGATTAGACAAAAATATAGCTTTTTGGTCTAAACTCCACTCGCTGTGTTTGGAGGAAGAAGAAGGATGAGTACAACCCCAAGAACACCATCCCAACCATGAAGCATGGAGGTGAAAACATCATTCTTTGGGGATGCTTTTCTGCAAAGGGGACAGAACGACTGCACCGTATTGAGGGGAGGATGGATGGGGCCATGTATCGCGAGATCTTGGCCAACAACCTCCTTCCCTCAGTAAGAGCATTGAAGATGGGTCGTGGCTGGGTCTTCCAGCATGACAACGACCCGAAACACACAGCCAGGGCAACTAAGAAGCATCTCAAGGTCCTGGAGTGGCCTAGCCAGTCTCCAGACCTGAACCCAATAGAAAATCTTTGGAGGGAGCTGAAAGTCCATATTGCCCAGCGACAGCCCCGAAACCTGAAGGATCTGGAGAAGGTCTGTATGGAGGAGTGGGCCAAAATCCCTGCTGCAGTGTGTGCAAACCTGGTCAAGACATACAGGAAACGTATGATCTCTGTAATTGCAAACAAAGGTTTCTGTACCAAATATTAAGTTCTGCTTTTCTGATGTATCAAATACTTATGTCATGCAATAAAATGCAAATTAATAACTTAAAAATCATACAATGTGATTTTCTGGATTTTTGTTTTAGATTCCGTCTCTCACAGTTGAAGTGTACCTATGATAAAAATTACAGACCTCTACATGCTTTGTAAGTAGGAAAACCTGCAAAATCGGCAGTGTATCAAATACTTGTTCTCCCCACTGTAGTTGAGACTGTATTGTTCTTTTTTTGTATTCATGGCAATTCACTACAAAGCTGTATTCAAAGCTGGACACTATTTCAGAATTTCTTACAAATAATAAATTGTGTATTAAACTTTGACTTATTAGGCAACGTTTTGAATCAGTTCCCTTAGTCAGCCACCAACTCAATAGCGCTGAGTTATTTTTTATAGTGATTCAGTCATTCAGACACATGACAGGGACAAACATAGTAGTGACACTTATGGCTCAGCCTCCTTGAATGAGACAGGAGCTCCCCTAATTGCAACTAAAGTCCAACTTTGGGGGTGGCTCTATAATTGAACCATTCTCATACTGTATTTTTTTTTAATGCAATTTTGTTCTGCTACAGTGGTAAATATGAAATAGCTTATTCCAAATGAAACTAACACCCCCACCACTCTGAATTGGTTTAAACCATTGACCATTGGTTCAGGTTCTTTCAATCTCATTCATCTTTCTATTCCGCCTGTCTGTTTGGAGCTTTCGCTAACGAACTTGCAACATTGTTTTCAGCTCCTTTTCAGGTGTCCCGACTTTTCTTTTTACAAAAAAAGTTAATTTGTCAGCAAGACACATCAATTAATTCAGGCTACAAGTGTGTGTCATCACACATTTTGGTGTTTTGTAACAGATGTCTCTTTCTGTTCATCAAAGCGCAAGCGCATACTTAAATAGAAAGTCCTGTGAAACACTATCATTTGCACACTGCTCTGAAGTGATCCACTCGAGATCCAGGACTCCATGTTATTCCTTCACATAAAAAACAGTTCAGTGTTCAGTGATTAACTGTTGAAGATTGGCCGGCGAGCTATCCGGAGCACTTTGTAAGCGTTGCGTCCAGGGGAGTCGAATCCAGATGAAACGCCCTTCTTGTTTGAAATTGTAGTAGTTAACGAGTTGCCTGTCCTGGCTCTCCAGAGACAATGACATGCTGTTGACCTTCAGCTTGCAGGGGCACTCCCCATCGAACACCACCCTGAACACCCTCTCCTGCAAGAAGTCCAACCTGATAGTGCTGTACTTGGCTGGCACTGTGGGGTCCAACTGCTGCATGACCAGCACCCAGTCCAAGCCCGCCTTGAGCTCATAGAACAAGGGGGGCAAAGTACGGCCCGCGGGTACTTCAATCTGGCCCACGATACATTTTTTTAATGTATTAAATATTATTATATTTGAGTTACGATTTTTGCCCTAAAATTACTCATTCCATGATATACAAACAACCTCCAATAGATCGTGCTGTAGCCTGGCAGCGCGCTCTGTATTTGGGCCTACAGTCAGATTCAGCCACTTCATTGCTTGACATTTTACATTTTACATTTTTGTCATTTAGCAGACGCTCTTATCCAGAGCGACTTACAGTTAGTGAGTACATACATTTTAATTTTTCATACTGCCCCCCCCCCGTTGACGACTTTTGACGTGAAAAATGAGTGCTGCGAAAAAAGCAGATGGCTTCGATCTTTTTTCTATAGCACTGGATGCGAGTACTGACATCAGAGACACCGCTCAACTTTTAATTTTTGTCAGAGGAATAAATGAGAACTTTGAAATAACAGAGGAACTTCTTGCGATGGAATCAATGATAGGAACAACCAGGGGCTCTGACTTATATGACAGGGTGTCTGCCTGCTTTGAAAAAATGTATCTACCGTGGAGCAAATTGACAAACGTCACAACAGATGGATCACCAAATCTAACCAGTAAAAACATTGGCCTACTAAAAAGATTACAAGACAAAGTAAAAGAAGAAAACTCTGAGGAATTTATATTTCTTCTCTGCATTATTCATCAGGAAGCCCTGTGTAAAAGTGTGTTAAAGCTGGAAAATGTTGTCAAAGTGGTTGTAAAACGTGTCAACTTTATACGGGCAAGGGGGCTTAACCATCGTCAGTTCATTCAGCTGCTCAATGACACAGAGGCAGAGCACCAGCACTTGTTGTACCATTCAAATGTGTGCTGGCTAAGCCTGGGAAAAGTATTTCGCCATGTGTGGGAACTGAGAGGGGAGATAGGTATGTTCCTTGATACGGTTGGTAAAGCTGACAACTTCTACAAGTTGAAAGACACAGACTGGCTGTATGACTTTACTTTCAGTGTGGACATATTGGGGCATCTGAACGATCTAAATGTGAAACTGCAGGGAAATTGTTTTTTTTGTGCATGAACTGTAGTCCAACGTGAAAGCATTCAAGGCCAAACTTATGTTGTTCTCCAGACAAATGAGCAGCTGGTCTCTCGCTCATTTTCCGACACTGGCTGCACTGAACGCGCCCACATCGCAGTGCCGCACTGAGACATACAGTAGCACTTTGATCGACCTGCATGCTGAGTTTTCCCGCCGCTTCTACAGACTTCACCAAGATTGAGACTGAGCTGGAGCTTGTATCATGCCATCTGTCTTTCGACAGTGAGAAAGCACCACCAGACACACACTTGGAGCTCATCTACATCCAATGTGACAGTGCTTTGAAAGAGAAGTACAAAAGAGCAACATTAGACCAGTTTTATGGCTCACTGAATGAAACAAAGTTTCCAAACATTAAAAAGCATACCCAAAGGATGCTTGTTTTATTCGGGTTCACATATGTGTGTGAACAAACGTTCTCAGTCATGAATTACAACAAATCCCATCAAAGGTCAAATTTAACAAATGACCACTTGTCAGCTGTTTTGAGAATCTACATCAAAGATGACACCATACTTTGATGCCCTTGCCAAGAGAGGTGACCAGACCCATTGTTCACATTAAGACTGAAATAACCTTGACTGGGGTAGGCAAGGATTATGCTTTTTCATGGTGATGGTTATGCAGTGAGAATTATCCAGCAATGCACTTGGATACACGTAATAACTAATCAGTCAGATTTGGGCTGAGGTGATTGGATAACTGTAAATATGGCTCACAATGGAGATGAGAAACATTCCTTAATATGCTTTCAAAAACAGACCATTCCAAATGAAACGGATGCTCTTACCATATGTTTCACTCAAATTTTAGAATAGTTTTTTTTTTTTTACACATCTGCTGTTACATTTTGCAAGTCTCTAGTCATATAATATACAGTGGGGAAAACAAGTATTTAGTCAGCCACCAATGGTGCAAGTTCTCCCACTTAAAAAGATGAGAGATGCCTGTAATTTTCATCATAGGTACACGTCAACTATGACAGACAAATTGAGATTTTTATTTCCAGAAAATCAGATTGTAGGATTTTTAATGAATTTATTTGCAAATTATGGTAGTAAATAAGTATTTGGTCACCTACAAACAAACAAGATTTCAGGCTCTCACAGACCTGTAACTTCTTCTTTAAGAGGCTCCTCTGTCCTCCACTCGTTACCTGTATTAATGGCACCTGATTGAACTTGATATCAGTATAAAAGACACCTGTCCACAACCTCAAACAGTCACACTCCAAACTCCACTATGGCCAAGACCAAAGAGCTGTCAAAGGACACCAGAAACAAAATTGTAGACCTGCACCAGGCTGGGAAGACTGAATCTGCAATAGGTAAGCAGCTTGGTTTGAAGAAATCAACTGTGGGAGCAATTATTAGGAAATGGAAGACATACAAGACCACTGATAATCTCCCTCGATCTGGGGCTCCACGCAAGATCTCACCCCGTGGGGTCAAAATGATCACAAGAACGGTGAGCAAAAATCCCAGAACCACACGGGGGGACCTAGTGAATGACCTGCAGAGAGCTGGGACCAAAGTAACAAAGCTTACCATCAGTAACACACTACGCCGCCAGGTACTCAAATCCTGCAGTGCAGACGTGTCCCCCTGCTTAAGCCAGTACATGTCCAGGCCCGTCTGAAGTTTGCTAGAGTGCATTTGGATGATCCAGAAGAGGATTGGGAGAATGTCATATGGTCAGATGAAACCAAAATAAAACTTTTTGGTAAAAACTCAACTCGTCGTGTTTGGAGGACAAAGAATGCTGAGTTGCATCCAAAGAACACCCTACCTACTGTGAAGCATGGGAGTGGAAACATCATGCTTTGGGGCTGTTTTTCTGCAAAGGGACCAGGACGACTGATCCGTGTAAAGGAAATAATGAATGGGGCCATGTATCGTGAGATTTTGAGTGAAAACCTCCTTCCATCAGCAAGGGCATTGAAGATGAAACGTGGCTGGGTCTTTCAGCATGACAATGATCCCAAACACATCGTCCGGGGAACGAAGGAGTGGCTTCGTAAGAAGCATTTCAAGGTCCTGGAGTGGCCTAGCCAGTCTCCAGATCTCAACCCCATAGAAAATCTTTGGAGGGAGTTGAAAATCCGTGTTGCCCAGCGACAGCCCCAAAACATCACTGCTCTAGAGGAGATCTGCATGGAGGAATGGGCCAAAATACCAGCAACAGTGTGTGAAAACCTTGTGAAGACTTACAGAAAACGTTTGACCTGTGTCATTGCCAACAAAGGGTATATAACAAAGTATTGAGAAAATGTTGTTATTGACCAAATACTTATTTTCCACCATAATTTGCAAATACATTCATTAAAAATCCTACAATGTGATTTTCTGGATTTTTTTTTCTCATTTTGTCTGTCATAGTTGACGTGTACCTATGATGGAAATTACATGCCTCTCTCATCTTTTTAAGTGGGAGAACTTGCACAATTGGTGGCTGACTAATTACTTTTTTTCCCCACTGTATATCTATTTTTAAGTTTGCATATTGTGACTGTTTGATTGTACTTTACAAGGGTAGAGATGCAGGATCTCTGTGTGTGTTTGACTGTGTCTGTGATGTTATAAATTATATCAATTTTGTGAAAAATGTGTGAAAGATTTGTTCACAAAAAACAAGGGTAGAGATGGTACAAGGGTAGAATTGTTCTGCAAGCATATGCACACCTACAGTACACTAGTAGTTGCGTGTCAATGTGAAAATGAATAAAGACTTCACATGTTGTGTCACGCATATAGTATGTGGCCCTTCCCTTGGTTTCAAAAACTCAATGTGGCCCTTGAGCCAAACGGTTTGCCCACCCCTGTCATAAAAGGTAGTGTTCTGGTAGATGAAGAGGCCCATGTAGGGCGTGGGGTCGGGCAGCAGGGAAAGCTTGCGCTGTGCATCTCTGAAGGCGCTTTCCATTGCAGGGATGAGGTGGCTGTACGCCTGCATGACCAGGTCCCTGTCCGCTGCTGGTGGCCTCACCCCGGCCATCAGCACCACCAGGCCCAGCTTCAGCCGATGTTAGCCAATAAGGAAAAGGCCACGTTGCTGTAGTGACATCTAGGGGAGTGGGAGGAAACATTGGTAATGTCACAGTCACATGAAATCCCCACCACCCTTTACAAAAATGTACTGGATAAGATGTTGACAGGAAGGGGAATTAGGTAACAGATCTATAGCAGCCTCTGTGTCTCCACCTCAGAGTAGATTTGTTGCCTGAAGCTGCCTCAGTAACCCTGAAGTAGAAACACAAATTTGTGAGTCAAGAGAATGTCAAACGTTATGGTCAAATGAATGTCAAAACTAAGTTCTGGAGTCAAAGGAATGTACAAGGGAACATTCCTCAGGTTTAATTCAGTGACAGTACAGTACAGTACAATACAGCAAAGTCAGAGGGATCTGGTCAGGAGAAAAGGCTAACAAGCCATGAGCTCATTAACCTCTAAGTATAGCCTCTCTCTCTTCTCTAATCACGTAATGGCCAGGGTAAGCTAAGGTTAATGTACAGTCATGAAGAGGAAGAGTGCCTTTACCAGAGAGCTGTCCGGCCATCCTGCGCAGGGCGACAGAGGTTTGAGCGGGGCTGGGTATCTCTAAACTAGCCTTTACATCCACAACGTCCCGCCGCTTCCACAACGTCCCGCCGCTTCCCCAGCAGGTTCGTGATGGTGAAGTTTGCTGCATACTTCTCCAGAGGGCCATCCAAGGAGACCACGTTCCCCTCCTCCCATAGCTTGTACAGCATCAGTGTGGGGAAGATATTCGAGAGACTAGCGATTCTGTGGGGAAAACAATTGTTGAGTGTTATTCCTCCTGCAACCTGTCACATTTGCAGCAAATCCTCCAGTATTCTCATTATCAACCTGACTCTTTGACCCAGCCTCTGGAAATAGATACATATCTGCCACAGCTAGGGTTGCAAAATTCCAGAAACTTTCAATAAATTCCCTGGTTTTCCAGAAATCCTGGTTGGAGGATTCCGGATTTATTGCTTATTCCGGGAATCATCCAACCGGGATTTCAGGAAAACCAGGGAATTTTTGAAAGTTCACATTTACATTTTAGTCATTTAGCAGACGCTCTTATCCAGAGCGACTTACAGTTAGTGAGTGCATACATTTTTCTCATACTGGCCCCCCGTGGTAATCGAACTCACAACCCTGGCGTTGCAAGCGCCATGCTCTACCAACTGAGATACACGAGACCACAAAGTTCCCAGAATTTTGCAACTCTAGTCAAAGCAATCATGTTAATCTCATCTAACATGCTTCTAACAAATGATTTATCAACAGAGGAGAGCAGAGCAGAGCTCACCTGTATAATGTGTACTCATTGGTTGGAGGCGAGGAGGGATCACTTCCGTTCCTTCTGCCAAAGTTTCCATTCCACAAAGCAGAGTCGTAGAAGACAACGATGGCATACAGAGATGGTAGTCTAGTGTCATGAATACTTAACCTTAGGAGAATGTCGATCTGTATGGGGGAAAATGGCATCTCGTAAAGAAAAATGTTAATGTAGCGCCTTAAGTTCTGCCTAAAAAAACACACAGGGTGAATATGTCATGTTTGAGAAAGTAAAGTAAATGCCAAATAGGCTATACATGTCTGTATTGACCTTTTCCAATGCCTCCTTGAGGGCAGAGATGGGGTGTTCCAAGGGTACTGGTTCAGGGAAACGAGGGCACATCTTCTCCTCCTACACCTCTATTATCACAACATTGTCTACAGACAAAAATAAAGGGGGATGTAACAAGTGCAGGAGGTGAATCACACTTCACATGGTACCAAACTGGGCCAATAAGCGAGCACACGTCTATATCAATAACCAGGTTAACCTCCAACCTTTTTATGCAAGTAAAGTACATGTCGGATAAATCATTTCATGACAGGCCTGATGGAAACAGCAAATTTGTCAATAAAACAAATGTCGAGGCCTCCCGAGTGGTGCAGCGGTCTAAGGCAGTGCTTGAGGAGTCACTACAGATCCGGGTTTGATCCCGGGCTGTGTCGCAGCCGGCCACGACCGGTGAGACCCATGAGGCGACGCACAATTGGCCCAGCATCGTCCGGGATAGGTGAGGGTTTGGCCGGCCGGGATGTCCTTGTCCCATCGCGCTCTAGCGACTCCTGTGGTGGGCCGGGCACATGTACGCTGACACGGTCGCCAGTTGTATGGTGTTTCCTCCAACACATTGGTGCGGCTGGCTTCAGGGCAAAGCGAGCAGTGCGGCTTGGCAGGGTCGTGTTTCTTCGCCTCTCCCGAGTCCGTACAGGAGTTGCAGCGATGGGACAAGACTGTAACTACCAATTGGGGAGAAAATGGGATAAAAATAAAATTAAAAATACGCTAGAAAAGGTGGATAATTTTTGAGTCTGTAAAATTAATTATGTGAGAAATGGCGATGGAAATGCCTTTATGTGCAAATATTGATATAATAACCATCATATCGAAGTACACTTGGAGTCACACGATGATATGTTGTGTGATCCTCCCATTACCACTTGGGGAGAAACGTGTTGTTCAGTACAATCCCTTGTGCAACGTAGCAGATGTTCAAGAGAACTGAAAGCACCTCTGGTCAATTTGATGGAAACATCTCTGGTGGAAAATTGCTGATTTCAGAATATTCACAGGGGATGGAAAATGATCTTTGAACTCTTACCAATTTTTTATTTTTGAAGCATCCCGTCATGACCAAGGATATCAGCAAGAAGACCACCATGCCTAACTTGGTCCATTTCACATTCATCTTGCTGGAGTGGTGTCCGAGACAACGATGCTGATTTATGCTGTGATGATAAGAATTCCGCTGACACTGTACTTTGATTATAAAGGTTTATTGTATCAAAGAAGTTCAGCGTCAATTTACAGACATCTGCAGATATCTGGAGAATAACCGGACCCAAATCTCTGATATGTTATTTCTCCCCGTCCTTTGTTCAAAACATGGTATTTATATCCTATGTAACATAAGATGGGTGGTTTTTGACAGACCAATCCCCGGCTTCCACATATCTCCAAATGTCCTCTATTCCAAGAAGCCTATGTAGTAATGCTTTCCAGATGTTTCAGCAAAGCAGAGTAGAGTTCATCCATTACACCATTTGCAAATGTCAGCAAAATCATAGACCCTCAGACACTACATATTTCCCCCCTTCGAGACTAATTAAGTCTCGAAAACAAAAATAATAGGATTATGACAAATACATTTTTTTGTTCTTGAGTAACTTCAGCAATAAACCAACATTTATGGAGAGTAAACACATGTTAATATAGAGACATTTTTGTATGGAGTGTAAATAAATTGTTATGGAGTGTAAATACATTTTAATGGAGTGTAAGAGCGAAAAACCTGTCTGGCAGCTTTCATTCCAAATACCCATCAATCAATCAAGACAGGAAAATTCTCACACGGCCCCTCTGCCCCAGGCACAAATTATGTATTACACATGCAAATATGTCTATATATCATTGCAGACACTGGAATGTAGTCCACTACACTTCATCTCCTCAGCAGTGTCGACTTCCAATGAAACGTTGATGATGGAATCTGAACATTTCCACACCTTCCTTGTTCCACTTCCTCCAGTCCATTCATATTGTCCATGTTTGAGTATTTGAATCCCCTCTACACATTCCCATATACTTCTGGAAGAAAAGAAAACACCAACCAGTATCTTTTGCAAAACAACACATTCAAATTAAAACATCAATATCAACTAAAAATGATATATAAAATGATATATAAAATGAATCACATCCCATTTCCCCCCTTTGATTCATAAGAAAATACTAAATATCACAATAATATAATTATCCCACAATCAGATATTCAAAATTTCCTAGAGTTTTTTCAACCCTAGTTTTCATAACTTTTTAGGCTGACTTTTTTTCCCAATTTTTTCAAAAACCATTTCACTGATTTATTCACAAAACTCTTTCCCATTTTCTGAGGATATTAAATCGGGAAATTCCCACCTGCTTATGCCTTCTTTACACAAGAACTTTGCAACCGACTGAGCATCTTTTAGCTTAGTTGGACATCTTATGCACCTCTTGGTGTAGGAATGTAACCAAGAATAACAGTCACACCCCTGCGAACATTATTTTTCAGACAGATTGTGCACCTGCCTATGACATAGTCAACCTGTTCAAGCAAATATGGTTCCCAAAAACCATACTCCTTTGTGCTCTTTCTCCTAACCTCCCCACTTGCAACATTAGCTAACCCATAGCTTCCTAAATCATCAGACCTAATAGGTCTAGAGGCGCTACTATCAACCCCTCATGGTTTCTCCAAAGACCAGTAGCATCTTTGACGGCACCTCGGTCTAGCCATAATTGTTTGTCGATCGTAGAAGCAGCTTCCTGCATCAAAATCACATCCTTAAGCGTAATTTTGTCTTCCAAGTCCACTCCATGAGTGACCAGAAAAACTTTGCCCAATTTGTCCGCTCCTGTGATGGCTTTTGCAGCTTCATCAGCAGCTTTGTTCCCTTGTGTGACTTTTGACTCATCTGTTTTATGAGCTGCACACTTAGCTATCGCTATCTCTTTAGGCTTCATCATAGCATGCAACAGTTTCATTATTTGCGCATGATGTTGTATCGGAGAACCATCCGTTTTCTTAAACCCTCGACCTTTCCACACTGCTCCAAACAGATGACATACACTATGTGCATATGCTGAATCAGTGTATATCGTCACTCGCTTTCCTTCTGCTAACAAACATGCTTCTGTTAGCCCCACAAGTTCAGCAAGTTGTGCAGACGCAGGCTGTGGTATTACTTCAGCCTTTTCAACAACAAATCCAGTTCCTTGGGCTTTAACTACTGCATAGCCAGCACACAATTTATCTCCCACACGATAACAAGACCCATCAGTCCAATACTCCAGGTCTGCCTCACGTAATGGAAAGGCTTGCAAATCTGATCTAAGCCTCGAGTATTTCTCTGCTTCTTGGACACAATCATGTGGCTCACCATCCTCTGAAGTTGGCAAATTCTCGGCTGGATTCACCGTATCACACCTCACTAGGGTGACATCTTCCTGCTCTAAGAGCCTATGATAGTCTCTGAGCCTAGGCATAGTCAATGTATATTTTCCAAAGTTCAGAAGATTTCTGAGACTATGATGGGTAAGAATTGTTACTGGGTAACCCATCGTAACAGATGATGCTTTGTCATACATTGAATATACTCCCACCATTGCTCTGTAGCACAGTGGTAGCCCTAGTTCTACTTCTGAATAGGCAGTAGAGTAGTAGGAAATAGGCTGAGGATTCGTCCCTGTGCCTGTCGGCTGACAAAGAACTGCACATGCATATTTACCTCCAGTAGAAGTAGACACATATAGCAAAAAATTCTTAGAGTAGTCTGGTAGTGTGAGTGCAGGTGCCTCCTGCAACCTCTGTTTGATTGTTTCAAATGCCACAAGGCCTTCCTGTGTCCAGGAAAGATTGCTATGGAGTTGACCACTTCCAGTATCCTTAACCATAGCTCTCAAAGGTCCCGTCAAACTAGCATAGCTCTCAACCCAAGCTGAAGAATAACCAGCAATACCAAGAAATGTCATCATCTCTCTGACAGTTCTAGGCTTCGGAGCCGTACGAATAGCTTCCAATTGACTATCCGAAATGCTTCTGTGTCCATGCGTTATTTTCTGACCCAATAAACAACCTTCTCCTGGCAATATTGCAACTTTTTCTGTGAAACCTTATGCCCATTTTCTGCCAATACCTGTAGTAATTTAATTGAGTCTCTATGACATGTTTCCTTATTCTGTGAGCAGATAATTATATCATCTATGTACTGAATGACAGTGTTTTGCAATATCTGATCTATCCCTACCAAATCATCCTTCAGTACTTTATTGAAAAGGTGGGGGCTATGCCTGTACCCCTGTGGCAAACGACTGTACTCATAGAACTGTCCCTTATATGTGAACCCAAATAAACCCTGACTTTCTACACTAAGTGGAACACTAAAAAATGCACCACATAAGTCTAACACCGTAAAATGTGTCACATCAGGAGGAATTTGGGCTAACAAGGTATGCGGGTCTGGCACTTCCGCTGGAAAGTCAGTCACTACCTCATTCACCGCTCTCAAATCATGAACCACACGATAAGTTCCATCTGTTTTTTTCACAGGCAACAAAGGTGTGTTACTGAGGATTTTTTGTTGTCCTTAAACACCTGCTTTCAAAAGTCCTTCAATGTGTGGTTCGATCCCTTGGATTGCTTCATCTTTCAATGGATACTGATTCTTCCAAGGAGGTCTGGCTCCTGGTCGAAGTTCAACTTTCACCGGTTGGGCTGATTTCACAAGTCCAATATCGGTACTGTGTTGAGACCACAAACATTCTGGAACTTGTTGCAACATCTCCTCTTTCATAGGGTCTGAATCCATCTTCGCACTGCAAATAGATTCATGTGTCATCCGTACAGCTTGTGGCTTTCCTTGGCCTTGAGCCGAAATCATGATTTTGAGAAATCGCTGATCTTCACTCCTCCAAATCGCCAAATTCTCTTTCATCGGTACGAAAACAGCTTTCTCTGCTTCTGTCATCATTTCTCCTACTTGCTTCTGCTCATAGCCTTCAGAAACCAACAAGGTCACATGTGGCACACTCTTCTCAATCTCAAATTCTTTATCCAGATAATCGTCGGTGTTTATCTTCATACC